CGAAGGGGTCCTCGGGAGGGGTCGTAGTGCTTGGCATAGGGTGTCTTTGGTTCCGTAATCTTCATGGTCGACGAGCGCTCCTGCTCGGTGAGGTAGAGATTGGCCTCGTCCCACTTGAGGCGCTGGGAGTCCTGTGAGGGATCCTCCTGCTCGTCACCGCCGGAGACGGAAACAGCGTGGCTTGAAGATCGCCTGGAGCCGCCGCCGAGGCGTGCGGCCGAGGAGGAGCGGCGGTGGCCGGCGTTGAACTGCGTATTCGCGATGGTAACCTCTTTATCGGTTTGCTCGGGAGTCGGAGAGGTGGGAGGAGAATTCTGGAAGCTATTCTTCAAAATGCCTGGGCGCCCAGCTGTGTTAGCTTTCTCGTGCGATGTGATAGTCAAGATGTGGCAGCTAGGTTTACCTCTGGGCCGCACACTGTTGGGGCCAGGCGGGGAGTGAGACTGTGGGCTGTGATCGACAATCGCGGCCATGTTGGGTGATGTGTGTTGCGGGCGGGCGGGCGGGTGATGGATGGATATGAAGAAAAGCGACTCTGGGTGTTGGGTCGTTGGCGAGAAAACTACAGAGAAGGCGTTTGGGTGGGTGTGGTGCGTACGAAAGTTGACGGCGGGGTACCAAAAATGAAGCAAGCACAGCGGGGTGGTTGTGGTCTGACCAAGTCGTGGGGCTATTCTTGTCGCGTGGGCTGGACGAGCGTGAGCAGGCGCGTGGGTGGGTTGAATGATCACAGTCTTGGGGTGAGGTAGGGAGAAAGAAATCGGAGTCAGGAGAAAGAGTGGTGAGACTTGTGGGGGGTGATGCCTTAATGATGGAGAGCCTCGAGCTCGAGGGCCAAACCGACGAGGACGTCAGTCAGGCAGGTCACCAAGTCGGAGATCCGGGGGTTGCCTCGCAGCGCGCTGTCTGGGTGCCTGATGGGTCTAGGTACATTGGTGGGGTGCCGGTTGCGGTACTTCACAGGGCACTCGTCTTTTGGGCGTTCCTTGGGCAGACTTGCTGGTATGTCAGGCACGCACTCGCCTAGCCATGCCGAGTGCAGTGACTAGATCCGGATCTCCTTCTCGTAGTTCGGATTTTTATCAAAATATTTGTTACACTCAGAATGACTTGTTCGTGTTCTACCACTCTCTTGTGATACTGTGGTGGCCAGTCTGATGATGGTCTCACATGCAACACATGGCGCGCGTGTGGGTACCGAGAGCCAGGTACCTGCCTGCGTACTTGCACCAGGCAAATTGGTGACGCTGGTCGTGTCTCTCATCAGCAGCACAGCGATATCAACCACTGGACCGTGCCGCTGTGCTGGGTCCCAAGCCGCTGGCCGTCCGCAACTGACAAGACGTCTTCGGCATAGTGGTGTGGGTGGGGCCCTTGGACCACCTTCCAACCCCCAGCCCCCCTCGTTTGTGACGACGTCATATGCCAAAGCATTTGGCACGCTGCACCTCCATCACCTTGCCCATCCACTGAGACGCTGGAGTGATGGGATTTCGGCTTTGCCTTGCACACCCCCCTCTTCACGATGCCCTCATAAGCACGCTAACTGTCCAAGGGCCGACATTGTGATTCGATTCAAGATCAAGGCCGTCAAAGGCCGATTTCCACGTGCTTGTGCCGCCCACGTTGACCTCATGGTACATGCAGCTGTCGCCAAGCCATCAGGATGCTGCCCACTGGCACGCCTGTTAGCCTCCTCTCCCCGTGCTCTACTGTCGTCATCCTCTTCGCGACGTTGGCTTCCCCGCTTCATATTCCCACGCAGGGTTGGTCCTCCCGTCCTTCATCGCCTTTGTTTGCTGTACAGCCGCTGCAGGCTGTCGCGGGTAGTAAATGTCCTGCACCCCGCGTTCCGGAACCTGGGGTTGGTGGATGACGCGAGGTCGTGCATGTGGTGTCATTATCTGGCGGAGAGAAACCTCCCAGCCCGGTTAGCGTATCAGTTCAGCTTGCTCTGTTCTAGCGCCGATCGATCGGCATTGTACCTTCTGTTGGACAAGGAGTGCTTCAGTCGACGATCGGTCGAACCTTATTGTATGAACCCAACTTGTCCCAGGTGCCGACACCTAAGCGCGGGAGCGGAAGCGGGAGAGATACGGGCCATGTGTCCTGTCCACTCCGGCCCGGGCTCATAGTAAACGGGGTAAGTCGGAGGCCGGCGCCGCCTCCGCCGCTATATTGCCGAGACGATGCTGTAGGTCAATGGCCACAGGCAAGAAAAGCCCTCATCCGAGTATGCAGTGGTATTCGGCTTTTCACATCCCCTTTGGCAGATGCATGTTCTCCTTTTTGGACGCGTAAATTGTCCATCCTCGTGAGGGTTCCTTTCATAGAGGTGATATCAAAGGTGAATACCACAAAGTCGCCATGTATCGTACTGGTATAGCAGGCAGTAAAGGAACCGGGCGCACGTACCTCATGAACTTCACCAACGAGTGCATAGCCGAGCACCAGAGCCGTCCAGCAGCCGCCTCGACCGAACAGGCCGAGGCGGCGAGGGCCCCGATGGACTTCTTGTCCAAGTTCTCCCAGAAGCACGCCAGAGACCCGGCGCGCTTCACCATGTACCACGTCTTCGCCGGGTGCGCCTCCAACATTGTCGCGGGCTCTGACACGACGGCGACGAGTCTGTCGGGGATTCTCTACCATCTGCTGAAGGCGCCGGACGTGTTCGCTCAGTTGAGGGCCGAGGCTGACCAGGTGTCAGGTCAGGCGAGGCATATTTCATGGGCCCAGACGCAGAAGATGACCTATCTTCAAGCCGTCATCAAGGAGGCGCTGCGGCTTCACACGGCTGTCGCGCTTCCGATGGATCGAGTCGTACCGACAGGCGGCGTGGAGATTGATGGCAATTTCTTTCCCGAAGGTGTACGTCAGAGATTCCTGTCATCGAGCCCGCTCCGAGGTACTGACAGCACAAAGACACTGGTGGGGATCAATCCCTGGGTCTATCACCGCAACACGGCCATCTTCGGCCCAGACG